AGTAGCAATTAGCATTGCTCTCCCCAGCAATATTCTGTTAAATTGCATATACCTCTGGGAACAGTAATATATGAGGTTACTATTGCTCAAAGAACTTGGGAAAGAGAGAAGGCGGTGTAGAAGGAAGGGTGTAAAAGGGGCTCTAGAGACCATTTTTATCTGTTCACAGTGACATCTTCTACAAGAGGGGCGGTGCGGGTCCTTGTTGATCACATACACAGAGCCACTGGAGGATGCTCTCGGACATTCACAATGCAGTGGTGAATTGCTGCATAGCAGTGTTCCCTGAAACACCTGCATGCAGTCTTGCTGGAAGATGTTTGAAACCCATACCTTAAAGTGACTAAAATGCCTCTCTATTCCCAGCACCATTTGTTTAACCCTAGAGGTTCCAGAGACAAAAGGTAGTTTCCCTCTAGGTAACATGGCAAGCACCAAAAAAGCTTCATTGTTTTGTTAAATAAACTAGACAACACTGAATCAGTTTACTTTTACTTAGTTTATTATTGCCCTCATTCTTCAAAACACAGTAGAAATTTTTCTGCCAGTTAAATTGTTACCACAACTGGGTTTTTTTTTTTAAGATTTTATTTATTTATTCATGAGAGACACAGAAAGAGAGAGGCAGAGACATAGGCAGAGGGAGAAGCAGGCTCCCCTCAAGGAGCCTGATGTGGGACTTGATCCCAGGACCTGGGGGTTAAAGACCTGAGCCAAAGGGAGTCCTGCTACCCACCTGCCTCTATTACTATAACTGTTACAACCAAAATGCCTATGTAACCAGAAAGTTACTCAGCCCCTTTCCAATGGAGCTTTTACTAAGTGATGTTTAATGGGCCATAATTTGAACAGAGAATTATATCCATGCAGTCTTCAAGTCTTTAAATCAGGCCTCCACCTATAAATGTTGGTTAGCCATCAGGGAGGAACAGGTGATACTAAGTTTCACTTTGTAGTGCCTGGAATCACTTCATTGTCACTGACAGGATATTGAATGTATTAGCCAGGGTTCTCCAGAGAAACAATTAATATGGAGCATATATATCTGCATAAAATAAAAAGATTTAAGAAATTGGCTTACGCAATTGGCTTGGGGAGTCCAAAAATTTGATGAGGGAGGCTGGCAAGCCAGAGATTCAGGAAAGAGTTGTAGTTCAAGTGTACTGGGAACCCAGGAAAATGTGATGTTGCAGTTGAAGTCAGAAGACAGTGGAAAATTTCCTGTTGTTCCCAAGAGATCAGCCTTTTATTCAACTAATTAGATGAGGCCTTACCCACATTATGGAGAGCAATCTACTGTACTCAAAATCCATGGATTTAAATTTAAACCTCATCTAAAAATATCCTCATGGAAACATCCAGCATCATGTTTGACCAAGGATCTGGGCACTGTGACCCAGCTAAGTTGATAAATAATATTAACCAACACACTGGGTCACACAGTGGCCATGTTCAACAAGAACAGATCTTGATTGGGACACCTGGGTGGCTCAGCGGTTGAGCGTCTGTCTTCGGCTCAGGGCGTGATACTGGAGTTCCAGGATCGAGTCCCACATCCAGCAGGGAGCCTGCTTCTCCCTCTGCCTATGTCTCTGCCTCTCTCTTTCTGTGTCTCTCATGAAAATAAATAAAATCTTAAAAAAAAAAAAAGAACTGATCTTGATCAAACCCTTACCTCTATTTCTGTTATTTATCTTAGATACTGCTCTAATTCGTTATTCTGTCATTATCTTTTGTCCTTTCATTCAAGGTACCTAATGCACCTTTCCTCTCTGACTCCCTAGTTTTATGGATGTACGTCCTGCCCCCCCTAAAGAAGCCCTGTAGCCCTTAGAAAATGATGTTAGTCATTTATACTTCAGGACAAATTTAGAGGCGCCTGGCTGGTTCATTCAGTTAGGGCATGTGACTCTTGATCTTGGGGTTGTGAGTTTGAACCCCACTTTGGGCATCAAGATTACTTTAAAAAATAGGATAAATCTAAATCATGGTTAGCTGTCTTACCTACTTTCTCATTGTAAAAGGAAAGCATATTAAAAGGATTTCAGGATCAATGAAGAGCTGAGGGAGGTATTTTTTTGAGGAAAGGAAAGAAAAAAGAAAGTGACTAACAAGGGCATCTGGGTGGCTAAGATGGTTAGGTGTCTGCCTTCAGCTGGGGTCATGGTCCTGGGGTCCTAGGATTGAGCTCTGAGCTGGGCTCCCTGCTCAGCAGGGTGTCTGCTTCTCCCTCTTCCTCTGCCCTTCCCCCTGCTTGTCCTCTCTCAAATAAATAAATAAAATCTTAAAAAAGAAAGAAAGAAAGAAAGAAAGAAAGAAAGAAAGAAAGAAAGAAAGAAAGAAAGAAAGAAAAATGAAGACAAAGAGGGGCAACCAGATTCTGCAGAATACAGAAACCAGATAAACTCCAGGGATCAAAATAATTCATGAATGGTCTTTCCAAGGTGTCTCCATTACATAAACTGACTCTCACTGTTTTCCATTTTCCTTAGGATAATCAAGGTTGCAGTCTCCAAGCGGGAGAGAAGCATCTGATTGGTAGAACTTGGGTTCTGTGCTTCCTCCTGGGCCAGGGGATGGCAGGGCACCTTGTCTGACAGTTTCCAAACTGCATGAGCTGGAGGAACTCTGGCCAGAAAAGGGAGCTTGGATTTGGGGCAGCAAAATATTTATTGTCTGTCAATATTACTGTTAAGAATTGCTCAAAGGTGATGCAGCATCAGCTCCACTATTTCTAAGGTAACCTTGAATATCAGAGCAAGGCACAGACGGGAAGCACAGACACTGTGACAGCCAAGAGCAATGTCTTAGAATCCTGCTGCTCCAGCTGGATACTAAGCACCCTAAGGGCTAGAGCTTACATCTACCTATAATTTCTTTGGTAGCTGGACCTGCAGGACGGTGCGCACATGATGCTACTGAATTTATACCACTTGTGCTACAAAGGACCACTCATCGTTGATTTTCTTGCTCTAGACAGATACATTGGAACCTCTCCAGCAAACCTATGTATTCATCCTTATTGGAGAGATTAAAGATATTTTCTCTTACCATCTATTTTACCTAGTAACAAACCAGGGGTGTAAGTATATCTGCATTATTCTCTGGCCTTGAAAATAATGTCAGGTCACTGGACTGAGAACCAGTATAATCTTCTGAATCTTTTTGGTCAATCTCTTTGATTTATAGATTCAAATTCAAAGTATCAAAAAATGTAACACACAACAGTTAAGTGCATCTAATTATACCTTTCACTTTGCAAGTAAGGAAACTGGGGCTCAGAGAGGTCAAGGGACCTGGCAAGTGAGTTGACAGAGAAAAGGGACCAGAACCTACACCTCCAGGCTCCCCAACTCATTCTAATTGTTTTTGTAGCTTTTGCAAGTTAATAGATCAGAGTTCAACTAGTTCTTTTTCCTGATAAACTTGGTTTAGTTAACATCTGATTTGTCCAATAAAGCAATGTGGTTCTCAGGTACAGTGTGAGAGTTTATAGAACTGGCCTGATTTGGGGTGCCTGGGTGGCTCAGTCTGTGAAGCATCTGCCTTCAGCTCTCCTGGGAACCAGCCAAACTTCAGGCTCCCTGCTCAGCTGGGAGTCTGCTTCTCCCTCTCCCTCTGCCCCTCCCCACCATGCTCTCTCTCAAATAAATAAATAGCATCTTAAAAAAAAACAAAAACAAAAACAAAAACAACTGGCCTGACTTTTTTATTTCTTCTGTCTCTGGCCCGCCTTCAGGTGACTTATTGATTTCTATTCTCAATTTTAAACCACTAAGCATGCCCAAGCTCTTCTATTTTTTCCTTCGCTCATGTTGGAAAAACTATTATTTTTCCTAATCAACTGTAAGAAATGAAAGAGAACAAATCCTGTTATTTCTCCTTGCCTCGTGTAAATATGGAGAGAAATCTAAGCCAGCAGGGGCAGGGGCAGGGGCCAAAAAAAAGCATCAGGGAATCCTCTAGGCGGATTCTCTCTTCTTGTAGGGGGCTGCTGCTGCTGTGGTTTTTATTATTTATTCTAATGATTATTATCCTCTGTTCTGGGATTTCAGTGAGGAAATGCAGTAGTTGAGACATCGAAGTAAAAAAAAGAACGAAATTCTGGGGTATTTCATTCAAATTCAGCCATATGGTCTCAAATGAAACAACACTGGGGGATGATAAAGATCGTTAAAAACACTACCTTCATAAGTACTTAATGAAATAAAAAATATAGAAAATGAAAGTATAGCAACAATCACAGTTCACTTTTAAATTTATTATTATTTTTTAAAGATTTTATTCACGAGAGATACAGAGAGAGAGGCAGAGAGAGAAGCAGGCTCCACGCAGGGAGCACGACGTGGGACTCGATCCCAGGACCCCGGGATCACGCCCTGGGCCCCAGGCAGTTGCTCAACCCAGGCATCCCACTCGCTTTTAAATTTGAAGAAAATACTGAGTTTTCCAGGCTACATATAAACCAAACATAAATGCCCATGCTGATAATTTCCAGGAGCTAGATAAACAAGCTCGCCCACAGAGAAAAAGTTTTAATTCTCGCAGAAATTGAATCCAGAACCAACTTGGGGACAGCCCAGTCCCCGCGCCAGATGCTCTCAGGCCCCTTCCCGCATTTCAGCGGGTCCAGAAGCCGAAGGGTGAAAAGGCTAAAAGGCCCTAACTGGGCAAGCGGCAGCTGGCAAAGAGAAGCAGGGCTAAGGGATCAAAACATCAAAGGCCTTGCTACAAAGTCCGAGGCAAAAGGTCAGCAGTGACAAGACGTGCACCACAAGCGCCTGAGTAAACCACCCGCGGCCCCGCACTCGGTCGAGGAACACCCTCGCGGGACCCGCAGCCCGCGCTCAAGATGGCGCCGCCGCCCCGCCCTCGCGTCCGCAGCCGCGGAGCCGGCGCATGCTCTGCGGGGCGGGGGCGCTGGGGGACGCGGCCGGGCGCGCGGGCGCGCGGGCGCGTGGCTTCACGGCGGCTGCGCGCCTGCGCGAGGGCGGGCGACGGGCGCGCGCGCGCGCGCGGCGGGGGCGGGCTCTAGTGAGCGCCCAGCTGTAGCCGCGAAGCCGGACGTGTCCGCGAAGATGGCGGGCCGGGTGAGTGCCGGCCCCGGAGCTGCGGCTCGAGGCGAGGGCGCCGGGCTCGCGGGCGCTCGGAGGTCCCGACGGCCCGAGGGGGAGGGGGAGTGAGTCCGAGCAGATGGGGGGTCCGAGGGGGCGGCCAGCCAGAGGAGGGCTTGAGGGTGAGAAGCGGGAGCGGTGGCAGGGGATTAGCCTCAGAAACTCCATCCGCCCGAGGAAGCTCGAGGGGAGCTGCGCCCCTCACTACCCCGGGTCTCCTGGGTCTCCTCTGATGCTCGCGTTCTGTCCCCTGGGGCTTGTTATCCGCGTCGCCCAAGCCAGCCGCAGGGTTGTGGCGGTCCCAGCCCCGTCGGACGGGCTCTGGGGGCGTCGCACCCCCCTTGCCGGAGCTTATTAGGTGCAGCCGCGGGGATAACTGCGGGGGATCCGTCGGCTGCGTGGGGGCGAGGGCTGTGGAAGGACCATTAGGAACCCACTTCTGCTGCTTTAGAGTGTGAAAGGTCTTGGGAAAGGAAGGAGGAGGTGCAAATGACTTGTAGCGTTAGACCTGCGCCTGGCTGGGGGACCTGTCACCGTCGGAACAGGCAGGAGTGTCCTCAGCTTGGAGTGGGGGATGCGTTTGGGGTGTCGCGTTTTGTTTTTGTGAATGACAGTCGCTTTGAATGCAGTAAGGTATATTGTAGTTTCAGGATTTTAAATTTCACTTCCTCCTTTAGCTTCTTAAAATCGCGGTGTAGTATGGGTTCGGCGAGGGGAGAGAGGGCTGGTTCGGTGCCGTGCTGCAGTGTGCGTTGAGCTAAAAGCTCTCGCTGAGGGATGGATCTTGCCCAGAGATTACACTGGTCATAAACGTAGGGACATTAACTGCGTCACTAGGGGATAAGGATGTGCTTGGCCGATTTATTTATACTGGAATACTTGAACAAGTTTGCATAAATTTATGCGTGCATGCGGATGTCCTATCTAAATGGCATTGAAAGTCGTGAAATTATGGAGTGAGAAGACACCTTAAAGGTCATTTAATTTGACCTCTTCCCCATAGCCTCTCCTTTAATCTATGGCTACTCTCTCTACCCATGTTTCAGAGTCTCTTTTTCCCCCCACCCAAGGAACCCTACTCCTATGTATTCACCTGTTCCCTCTTAACATACTTAATCTTCTTCCATTTTAAGAGAAACCCTCCCTCCACCTTCACACTGTCTCCTTTTCTCTTCCCATTTTTCAGCCAGAAATTTGATGGAGTTGTGTACATTTACTGTCTTCCATTTGTTTACCACCTATTCAGCCCACTGAGGTCTGGTTTCTGGCCATATCAGTCCACTGAAACGAGTTCCTAAACTTAATTGACATTTTTCTTTTCTTTTTTTTTTAAAGATTTCTTTTCTTTATTTTCTTTCTTTCTTTTTCTTTTTGAGAGAGAGAGCCCGAGCACACGGGGGGGGGGGGGAAGGGGGGAAGGGGCAGACGGAGAGGAGGGGCAGAAGGAGAGGAAGGCAGAGGGAGAGGGAGAAGCAGGCTCCTCCCTGAGCAGGGAGCCTGACCTGGGACCCGATCCCAGGACCCTGAGATCCTGACCCCAGCAGAAGGCAGACACTCAACCAGCTGAGCCACTCAAGCACCCTTAATTGACATTTTTCATTCTTTGTCTGAGTTGATGTCTCCACAGCATTTGACATTGACCATTTCATGCAAACGCTCTTCCCATGGGTTCTGTGCAGCCTTGCTTGTTTTTACTCCTACCTCTCTTTTGCAGACTCACCTTCCTCTACCCTGTTATTCAGTGCAGATATTCCTCAAGGCTCTCTTCTCTGTTTTCTCTTCAGGCAATCTCTTCTAAGCCTGTAGCTTCAATTACCATCCATATGCCAATGGTTCTCAATATTTTACTCCCAGTCCACACCTATCCTTTAAGTTCCAGGTCAATGTCAGACTTACTGTGTAAAATCAAGGCACCTCAAACTCTACTGTTCACATCTAAACCCATGATCTTAGCCCACCTAATTACTACTTTTCCTGTTTTCTATTTCAGTGAATGGCATCACCGTGCATCCACTTACATACTCTGAAAACCAGTGTGGGTTGGAAAGGTGGTTGTGGTGGTGGTCATGGCCATCCTTTCTTCTTTCTTACCACATCCTCTGTCCCTCCAGTAAAATTCATCACTGAGTTCTGTTCCACCCAACTCCACCCCTTTGCAAAAAAGGGTATTAGGGCTGAAGAATCTGGCTTGGGCATTGCTGCTTTTTTGGGGGGTGGTGGTGGTGCATTGCTGCTTTAAGCTATAACCAAATAATCCACTGAACTGGTCATGTGGGTTCTGTCATTTTAATATCCTCTTTTTTTAAAAAAAAGATTTTTATTATTTATTTATTCATTAGACACACACACACACAGAGAGAGAGAGAGAGAAAGAGAGAGAGAGAGAGAGAGAGAAAATGAGGCAGAGACATAGGCAGAGGGAGAAGCAGGCTTCTTGCAGGGAGCCTGATGTGGTACTCGATCCTGGATCTCTGGATCACCCCCCTGATCTGAAGGCAGATGCTCAACCACTGAGACACCCGGGAGTTCCTGTCATTTTAATATCCTAAAGAGTATCTTCAATCTGTCCACCTCTCTGTATCTTCATTTCCACCACATTTTCTCAAACTACCATAATTTTGTGGTTTGGACTACTTCAGGAAGCTCGCTAGAGGTCTCTTTACAGCATTTTCCACATTGATTGTTTCTTCCCATGCCTGTTGGCTACTTAAACCCCTACCTCAATAGTATCAGGTTAATTTGGGGAGAAGATGAAATCCAAACTGGGCCTTTAAGGCCTTTTGTGGTTCTACTTCTGCTACTCTGTACTCACTGCCCTACTCTCTGTGCTCAGGTTATATAAGCCATTCAGTTCCTTGAACTTTAGTAGTTTCTCTTACCACAAGGTCTTTGCATGTGCTGTTTCCCTTCTTTGTGATGTTCTGTTCCCAGCCATTTACCTCCTACTCATAGATCACTCATCTATTGAAGAGAAGCCTGTTCTGATCCCACGTAAGTCATAATCCTTTGTTATATGCTCTTGAAGAACTGTTTTCCTTTCCTTAGAGATTTATCTGTTATTTTAAATTTATCGGTGTGGTTATTTGCCTTGATCATTTATCTTCCATGAAAGAAGAAACCATGTTCATTTTCTCATTATCATCACTGGTGCTTTGCATATTGCCTAGGATCTAAGTACCCAGTACATTTTTGTTTAAAATGAAGCTAATTTAATCTCTGAATACTCTAGCAGTAGAAGGTGCATCACCATTAAAGCTAGCCCAATTTAGTGTCATATTAGAAAGGTCTTTTATATGTGGAGTACCATGTAATTTTTAGCTGTTTAGAGCTATATGTATTTTTTAAAGATTTTATTTATTTATTCATGAGAGACACAGAGAGGAGAGAGAGAGAGGCAGAGACACAGGCAGAGGGAGAAGCAGGCTCCATGCAGGGAGCCCGATGTGGGACTCCATCCTGGGTTTCCAGGATCACGCCCTGGGCTGCAGGCGGCGCTAAACCGTTGAGCCACCAGGGCTGCCCTGTTTAGAGCTATATTGAACTAGACACAGTTCCTTTTCTGTATGATAGGTCCTCATATATTTGAAGACAGGTTACATATTCTCTCAGATTTTCTCTTTTGCAATTTAAACATTCCCAATTCCTCTAACATTCTGTATTCCAAACCCTTTATCATTTAGGTTACCTTATTTTGGAAAAGCTGTTTGCCAATATTTCTTCTAAAATGTGTCCCCAGTGGAACACAGTGATTAGTGAAGGATCTCCTGAACACTTGTACTCTTGAGCTAGACATTACCATTATTAATACAGGGTAAAGTTGTATTCTCTTTTTTCCTACAGTAAATCACATTCTTGGCTCATAATGAGCTTACAGTCAATTAAAACTCTTGTATTCTTTTAAAATTGGCTCCCCCACCCCATTATATGTATTGTGCATTTTTAAAGTTAAATCTAAGTGTAAAACCCTATATTTATCTCCTTTACAATTTTTTTTTTTTTTTTAAGGTCAGGGCCTATCTGCTACTTGTTCAAGGTCTTCTTAATTCTCAATTCTTTATGTTATACAACCTGGTAGTGTTGTCTGCTGGTTTTGTTTTCACCTGTAGGTTTAAAATTATGACTTCTGTGTCTACATTCAAGTTATTGATCAAAAGGAGAATAAAATGGATCAGAAATAGCCCTTGATCATGCTGATGGGAACCTTCCTCTAGACTGATACACATCAGTATACTTTGGGTACCATTACTTAAATACAAACATATCTCATTTAATCTTGCCAAACCACCCTGCAAGCTAGGTAGTATTAATATTGTTTTATTCAGAGATAGGGGCTTGTTAATTTGCTAGGTTCACAACTAACTAGCAGTGTCAGGATATGAATTCCAGCTCATTTTGGTACTATTACCTACTTCACCAACTTAGTTAAAAGGGTATAGAGAAGAGAAGATTTACCTTACTTAGAACTTTTAGAGGTTGCTGCCAAAGTTTAATTTTCAAAAACTACCTTCTGTTTTTTGGAAAATCTGAAAACCTTTGGCCCGTCCCTGATTGTCTTATTTTTCCCGATAACTATAATTTCCTAGTAACTACTCACTAATGTTTAACAAATAGAGTTAGCCTTGTTGTAATGCTTTTCCAATGAGTTCTGAATCCCTTTTTTTGTGGGAGAAAAGCTATTTTGAATTATTGCTTTTGGTTAGTTTAATTTTGGCATTCTAATGTCTTGTATATGGTATTTATATTGTGTAATTGAAGGAGACTTTTTCATTGTGTCATTATATCACATGTATCATTGGTAGCATTTGTAACCTGTATATCTTGTCCTTTGCTTTTTCTGGGGAAAATAGACCATTGTGTTTAGTTCATCTGGGAAATTGGCTGAATAAAAAAAATGTGTGATATTATTCAGTAAATAACATCTATATCATGAGATGTATTCCTAAAATATCTTAAAGGTTCTAATCTAAAAAGCAGAG